CCATAACCCTTCTACACGTACCGCCAATGTCACAATGCTTGATTTATTGGCAAACGTAAAACATGAAAGTTAGATTAGGGAAACAAACAATGAAGAAATATGTGTTTCTGTTCTTTTGTGGAGTTACTGGCCTACTCCAGCATTTGTCTCTCCTCGAATAGTTTGCAGACTAACTAATAAGTCATTCACTTTGTTTTGGTTTTTGCTGTGACTGTACTCTGCAGTCTAAACTCGTAACTCATGCATAGTTGTGTCAACAAAGCAGTTGAGAATGCGTTATTTTCACTTTACAAAATAAACAAAGTGTTACTTCACAAACTGTAAAAGAAAGCATGATTCAGTTATGTGCCGACAAGTGTTGACAAAAAAATAAAATAGATGGCATGTCTTACATCAGAATTCCCGAACTGGCGATCCGCGGACCACATCCTGCCCGAGGCCGGTTATAACCAAGTACGCGAAATTATTTGTTAATGTATTACAAGTTATTACAAGTATTTTTTTTTATTTTTGCTCTAATTGATTAGAAGAAGTCATGATTCTTACCTGTCTGCTACAAGTGCCACACATGCTACTGACTTCAAAACCCTATTGTAAAAATGAAATCGTTCCAGATAGAAACTGTCAGATATTATCTATTACAGGATAATATTTCAGATAATATGTACATCCATAGGAATTTGTGTATGTTTAATAAAAGTGTATTTGAACATATACTATGGTAATATGTCATTTCTGAAGAAAAAAACAAAGTAATTCTAAATGTGACGAAAACTGGTTATTTGTCTTCAAAAATAGTACCACAAGGAGTTTCTTGGCACTTGGGTCTAACACGAAGACTATTATTCTGAGGGAACACACGTTATGGACCATCCCAGTTTATATTATAATTGTGTATGCACGACTAGGCATTAATATTTCAATCGGTGGATCAAAATGGACCACACAAAAACCATATCCTTGAATAATATGCATTATGCACGTTCCTGTCATATAATGTGTTGTTTTCAAGATGTTTGTCTGATATTGGCTATTAATTGAAAAGGCATTTATCGTCAAACACCCACACAGCAGAATGAAACTCTTACCTGTGTACGTCTTGGTTTACAACAGCTGGTCTGCAGAATCCATGAAGTCCAACTGACTCCCTACCGAAAGCTGAGGTAACTGAAACTAGTAGAAAGTGGCGCAGAGTGATAAACGGGGCCAGGAACACATCGCAGCTTCTCAGAATTTACGTAATTCGATGTTCCGAGTTCGAATCAGTTCTATGGGTATATTTCACGTGAAGGTTAAGCCAACGAAGACTTAAGCCCACACTAAAAACTCGTTAATTCCAAGCTATTAGGCCATTTAGTAAATCTGAATGAAGCACTAAAATATTTTGTCCTTTATTGTGTCAGAAATTCTTCGTAAGACTCCTTGTTAGTGTCTCCTTGCAGTAGGCTTTACCGACGTGGAAGTGGGCTATGAGGTATTATTGCAACGATAAGGTTGATACAGAATTAGTGCTGCCACGTTTTGTCACGTCCAGCTAGCTGTTAGTTGCTCACAAGGTCGAGATCCGAGGGTCTGTGTTTTTCATTTATTGTTCACCAATATTTTGTCTCCGCCATTTACAACACGCGACCTGCAGTCCTTTCGCATAACGGAACATGATCCCATCCGTCTGCATAATGAATCCTACAGAATAGGTGTCGCCCCACCTTTTTACCTGAAGAAGATTGAAGATCCAGCCTTCAGAACGTAATGATTTTTAAAAACAGACGATGTGTAGTCCAAAAGAAACAAAGTAGTAAAAACGCCTGCATTCTTTCGGTGTCAACATGCTGCCTTGTTTCAATGGAGGTGCAGACGCAATAAGATGTGTCTGGCTGCACACAACCTGGTCAGTGGCCGGAACATAATAAATTTTTTCAAATCAGAACCACGCCCTCGACAACATTTCCATCAGTCCTGTGTAAGGAGTCTCACAAATTATTTTGGCCTCACCTCAGAGGTTTGCTGTGTTGAAATATGGGCAGAGTCACATACCGAAACCAACAAAATTCTTGAGAATCGTAGTGGCTGTCATCATCAACAGACAAAAATCAATTCGGCATGTATGGAAAAACTTTCTCAGGTCGTGATTTGAGAATATTTTGACTTAGGGTATGAATGTTGAAAAGTACAATGATGTAAGCCTATAATTTTGTGTGTCAAGGATATTTTTAATAAAAATCACAGAAACCACAACGTAATGTTATTATCTTATTTTAGAAACTATTTGATTTGTGTTTCTGTTCAACCTCTTATCTTTCGCCACTCCAACTCCTTTATTTGACAAACAGAAAATGGTAGTCCTAACTCTGTCTTAGGACGGATGAGGTCAAGGTGGTGTCCGGAAGAAGATACATAAGGAGAAAATTTTTAAAATAACAGTTGGGTCTAGCTTATTCTGGTTGTTTAATAAGGGAATTGGTTGAACGATGAGGTTTTCGGTTATCTGGTCCCGGTGTACATTCGTACACAGAAACAGACTTCTTAGAAGGCTGCATGATTCACAGCAATAACACCGGTTCTATGAGGCTAGCATCAAAATGAAGCTTCACGAAACTAACAAAATCCCACGGTTTTAACTTTTATCATTGCACGCTGTTAGACTACGTGTCTCGGAAATGAACACGGGCTTTGTACGATGACGTAACACTGTCAATCCTTTCTCTCTTTCTGGTTACTTTTCTTACTTGTATTTATCGTTGGAGAAATTTCTAGTTAAACAACTTTCAGGATTTGGGTTATTCATTTTTTTTGTAAAGGAAACGTATACAGATACATAGAACAATGGGATGGGATATATTAATCAGGTAAGTGAATGTCTATTGGCTGGTCGACCAACATTCTATTCCCAGAAAGAGAAGAGACTTATTTTAAGACCTCTGTGTTCAGACTGGTTGTGGGGCTCATTCAGACGCTTGTACATTGGGTAAGATACCGGAGGCTCTTGATTCAAGGATAAAGAGGTCAAAGTGTGTAGCTAACCACTCCCAGAACACAGTTCCAAGTTTAAGACCTAGTGGAGTATTACCTTCTATTCTCCATGTGTATTCAACATTTGACGCTTAAGCACAGGAATACCTCACATGATTAATTCGAAAAATAGATTGCTGCAGTTTTATGTGGAATACTTGGGCACATTTTACCTAAACGTGTTGACTTCTTCATCTACTTTGGCGCTCTTACAAATAAAGCAGCCAGACGACGACGTGATTGGGCCATACCAGAACACACTGCGTAAGTGCAAGTGAGATAAATAAGCTACTTCCTGATGATAACAAAACACTAGACTGCAGTGTGGGACGAAACGAATGGGACTCGTAACTTTTTTGTAATTGGTGAAAGTTCCCTGCATTGGCCGCGAAATACGTCACTGTGACGTATCGCGTACAAAACACGTGTGGTGCTCTCACGAAAACTTGTTTTACCGTGCTGACAACCTGAGATTCATTACGCAAAAGCCTAGAGAGTACTTGTGTTTGGTTAGGTTAGTGAAGCAACGAAATACATACGTCAAAAAGCAACTCCTCGTTTGCACTTAACAAACATCGCGTCCTTGGTGACACATGTTGGAAGTAACTCTAAACATATTTTGAGGCCTTCACGTTTGATGTCATTGCACAGTTTGGGCAAAATTTATATTCGGTTAGTCAGAGTCAGAGGTGAAGTTTTACAACAACACAAAGTAAAATGAGGTATCGTTACATTTTGCATGTTTTGATGTTTCATTTATGGAAATGTGACCTCAATGGGCACACAAAGACTATTTCCCGAATTCAGTCTTCTCTTTAATTTCATCATGGCTACAATACTAATTTCTTATTCTACTTTCGAACAGGCTCAATTGAAAGAAGTCAGCAATTTTCATATTCATGTCGTGAACATAAATCATCTACAAGAAATCGTGAAGATGTCTGTCCTCAGGGTCGTCGCGCCTTATAGTTTGGTAGAAGTTTACAGGCGCTACACTGATGCAACGACCCAGAAGACAAGTCATCTTCATATTCGTTGCTGTCAGAACCTGTTAGCTACGTCACTAAGTTGTTTCGAATAAATCAGTGCATCGTTACTGCAGTTGGAAATCCGTTTTGGAACCAGTTCCTGATGAGTCTTCAGGAGTTGATGAATACACTCCCTGCATTTATGAAATACGATTGGTACAGCCAGCACCTTGAAGCAAGTCACTACTGCTATCTTCATACTCATTACCACTAGACGTTACATGGACTAAACTGCTTTTGCTTCAGAGACCAGCAAATGGCCGTGTCGACGATCCAAGACATGACACGCGACGTCGTTCAGTAGACTAGCCAACAGAACCCTGTCTGGGAAGCTAATAATTATTAATTATAATTAGTTCGTCGTTCTAGTTAAGAAATTTCCCAAATTTCATGGAACTTGTAGGTTCAGTGCCGTGTTCACAGCAACCCACCACTCGTCCGCATCATGATTTAGATTAATCCAATCCACATTCACAAAACCTATGGCCCTAAGGTCGATTTAAATATTTTTATCCATTTAACAATCGAACTACGAAATGCTTCTCGAGTTGCTCGGCAGTCGACGGGTTAAACTAATCGTTCCTTTCCCGTTCTTTTCCACTTCCCGGTGAAAGTGCGTGACACGGACAATCACAGCGCCCAGCATTGTCACTTCTCTGACTCTGCAGTTTCCGAAATGTTAGGTAGGTGCTGGCAAGTATACTCTCGGATGGGAAATGCCCTTTCCGAGATAACTTACACTAACAGTCGGTTACACTCGGGATGGCTCCTACCCCAGGCCAGAGTATCAGGGATTTATGGTTGACGAAGTCCCACTGTGATAGATTTGTCTCCAAATAAATATGTTTTACCCGGCAGTCAGCATTTCAGTGTGTTAGTGGGTCAGTCAGCGTGCTCATTGGAGGCTATTCGGGAAGTCTTGCGAACATACGTCGCTGTCATTTAACTGTTTGGAATGCCCTGGGTTCAAATTCAAATAGCCCGACCTGATTGAGGTTATGGTGATTTTGCTCAGTTCCTGAAGAAAAGCGTTGGGGTAGTTTTTGACGTGAAAACGTCTTTAAAATCGATGCCGGATGTGGGGAGGCAATCGCGCCCAAATGAGCGACAGTTTCTGTCGAAGTAATTTCAAACTTCAATAACTCGGCTAAAAATAGATATAGCGCCGCCATCTTAGTCTCGTTTTAAAGAGGAATGATGAAGGATGTGTGCCAGCACCGCTCTGACATTCGTGGCGGCCGGACGTCGCAAACTGCGCACGCGCAAAGTGAACCCACGATTTTCGACTTTCCGGATTCGACACGTGTCCATAAACGGAATCATATCTCAGAGACTAATTATCCGATCCGAGTGAACCAAGTGTTGTTTTGAATAGGAGTGTATATATTACAACTCATCCTGGCCCCCAAGTGTGTATCTAAAAAACTCAAAAAGATACGAGGCTGTGAATTTGAGAAAAGTATGAAAATTTACCGATTTTCTTAAAATGTCGCGATATATGAGGGCAAAGTAAAACCAGAATTACAATAATCGGGTACGAATGCGTAGAGCACAAAATTTCAAAGAGAATGACACCGAAAACGCCGGGCCCAGACCAAAAACCAACGCGCAGTACTGCCGCGAATATAGGCAACGTAAGCGAGCTCGGACAACTCAGGCGGCATCTGACGAGCCTGGGTCAAGTATGAATGTGTACCAATTAATAAATAATCATTTATAAAAATGATTATATTTACAATATCCCTAAGTTAAACTATTAATTATTAACTAATATTTTCGTTAAGAAAAAATAATATAAAAGAACATTTACACGATTGACGTTTTCACGAAAATAACTGCGGCAGTGTCCGACACTGCCTATCAATTTTTTTCAATTAAATCACGACCACTTCGTTTCACATCGCTTCAAATTTATTCATCAACCTATCATTCAACGCTGAGCTAATGACTGCGTTTTCAAAAAAAAAAAAAACATAAATAAATTGTGTAGGATGGGGTTGACTTTCGTCCCACTAATAACTTTTCTGAAAACGGTTTTTGTGGGTTTTCTTAGTCCCTTTAGGAAAAAACTTAGATGGTGCCTTAAAATCGAGATCGACTCTTTTATCTATCCTTTACATTTCATCACGACTATTCATCCATTCGATTTTATACCACGATTCAGTTTATAAAATATCGTGAAGTAAATCAATAAGTGATCAGCCATGATGTCGCTACCTCACTGGGTCAGTTTGTCAGTCAGTCAGTCAGTCAGTCAGTCTGTCCGTGATTGAGTTAATGCCTCTGTCAGTCAGTGGGTTGTAAATTAGTCAAATAGAAATGGGAAGACCAGGGGTCGTCACGATCAGCGGCGAGAAACCAAGACTCGCTTTTGTACAAAACAAAATTTCACTTTCATACATTCACAAGAAACGCACTTCCTTCGGTGAAACGGACAATTGAGCGGATTCGTGTCTTGAGCTGTGCTCAAGCACCGGTACTTGACACTAAGCTCTCAAACAGTTGCATAACTCATGCGTGCCGATTGAAGTATCTGCTCGAACCCTGAAATCGTTTGCCTGAATCCCGCTCGAGGCACGGATGTCTGCGTTTCTTCCTCTGTTGTGGAGGCCTTTTTTTATACAATTTGGCTGCACGCGACAGAGACAAGCGACCGAGGCAGGCGACAGAGTTACGAGACCGAGACTGGTCGCTTCCTGTCTGCTCTCTGTACAATCGTATGAAGTACAATTACGAGCGCGAGACA